GTACAATTCCCTTGGGCTCAGTTTTCCCCTGTTTGGGTCATACACCGGCATTGAGACCTCTGTTATCCCTCTTTCAATCATGAAGTCTTGTAGTCTTGTTAGTGCCAACATCACGTGCTCGGGATCAATTGTGTTCCTGTCATTGACCCTCGTCACTAGGAAGCACAGGTATTTCCCCGGGACTTGTGCTACTGATGGTGGGAGCGCTGCCATCCCTCCCAGTCCTGGTCTCTGTCTGAACAGAAACTCTACGTTCTGGTATTCTCTCTTGAAGTCAGCTTCCAGTCTTGATTTGAAACTCATGTCTGCCGTGATGCAGATCGCGCTCGTTCTGTTTGACAGGATGAAGTCACTATCTGTTATCATGATGTTTTCCGAGTACTGATTGGGTATTTCAAATTTCGTTTTGAAATTCCGGCCTATGTTAGGCTCTGGCTCCTTTTCTTCCAGTTCTAATTCGCTTGTTTCTCTCACTTCCTTGAGCTTCTTTATCATCAAATTTTCGGTGTGGGTAAGTCCTACCCCCACTCCCCGGACAAAAATATTTATCGACGTCCCCGTCGATGTTGTCGGGTCTGAATTGTCCGGTGGAATGTCCAGCGGCCTGTCTGTCGCCGTCCAGCCGAAGAGAGGGTCTTCTGACTTCTTGTGTTTTTCCGCTGACACGTCGACTTGCTGGATACTCTGTCCTCCATGGCCTTCGTCTTTGACGTCGCGTATCCACTCTAGTATCCTCAAGTTCGTGTTCGCCCTCCTCTCTATCTCGCTCTGTTCGAGGTCCGTCTCCATTTCTGGTGTCGAGTAATCTCCCTGCGGATAGTGTCCTCCATCATCAATGACCTGCCATTCCTCTTCGGCTTCCAGTTCGCCTGCACTCAGTAACTCCTCGCCCAATTGGTCTGGCTGTATCTTGTCAATCAAGAAGTCATCCCCGTATCTGTTGTATCTCATACCCGTCCGTTTACGATTGCCAGTTCTGGTTCCCGGTGATATTGGTCGATCTGGCTCCATCCACTTCGGCACCTCATCTTGCTCCGGGTCGTTCCAGTCTTCTTCTGCAAACGATCCTGTTTCAGACTCCACCTCTATCTTTTCATTGTCGTCCAAGCTCAAGTTTTCATTGCCATCATTTTTCTCCCTGGTGCCCTTCTCATTCACTTAACACGCTGGTTCTACCACCAGGTACTCGAGACCCTCCATGTCTTTCGGTAGGCACCAGTCTTCCGGGGACGGGACGTGAGGCTTCAGATTTTCGTAATGTGCTGCCGCCCAGTACTCAAGCGGTAGAACCGTCCTTGCTGATGTACTTCCGTTTTCATGAATGGTCCCCTCCACTTCTTGAGTAGTTTCTTTGTTCCCTTGGGCGGTATGACATTTTGGAAGACCCACACGTACTGGCCCACTTCATATGGTTTTGCTTGTAATATTTTTTCGTCATATTTCTTGCGTTGTCTCATTTGCGCTTGCGCCGTGTTCCTCCTGCATAGCTCGTTTAGCTCTTGTTGTCTTTTGATCGCTTCCTTCACGTATGCCTGAGGCGACGTCCTCTTCCCCTCGTATTCTGGGTAGAAGAATGTTAGAGGCATCGCCCTCTCCCTGCCCGTCAACATCATGAAAGGACTGATGCCCGTCGTTGAGTGATGTGTACTGTTGTAGGCTCCTACTACCTGTGGCAGGTATTTGTCCCAGTCCGTCATGTATCTTGAGCAGTACACCCTTAACATGTTGACCAGTGTCCTGTTCTGTCTCTCTACCAACCCATTGGTCTGTGGATGATAGGTCGTCGAGTGTGCTTGAGCAATGTGCGATCTCCTCATCAAGTCCCCCACAAAAGCTTTGCCGTTGTCCGACTGGAAAGTCATTGGACAACCATACCGCGATATCCAATGCGTTATCAATTGATCACATGTCTCCTCGGCCGAGGCTGTTTGGCACGGGACCGCTTCCGCCAACTTTGTGAAGTGATCTATTATAACTATTATTTGGTTATAACCCGACTCCGTCATGCAGATTTTCTGATGGTCTATCTGCACCACTTCATTGAATTCCAAACTCTCGACAGACTTGAGGGGAAACTTCATCTTTCTAGGGTCTTTTACTTGAAGGCATGCTAGGCAGGCATTCACCCATCTCTCGCAAGCTTTTCTCATGCCCGGCCAATCAAACCTATGAAGTATCCTTTGTTGTACTTTATCTATCCCCTGGTGGCCCATCTGGTCGTGTGATCTGAAAAGCACCTCCGTTTGGTACAATTGTGGTAGTATGATGAGGTTGTGTTTGTGTAATACCTTTTCCTCATCTCTCCTCTTGCACGCTACCACCCCATCAGCTGTGTGATAAAGTAAGTCTTTCTTTTCTTTGTAGAACTGGCTCAAGATCTTGTAGCTGTCTTCCTCAAGTTCCCCCTTCTCCCTGACCCCCGACTGGATCCATTTGGAGAGATTACTTGTCATTTTGTCATTCTTCTGGGCTCTTATTAGGTCTGACAGCCTATATCTCGCCTTGACATGCTCCTTTAGCGCCATGATCTGTCCATTCATCTCACCAGGGTTGTGGATGTCATCACTCAGTTTCACGCATATCATCCTTTTCACGATTTTCATGTCGTCTTCTGGTACCAGATTCGTTCTGACGTTCGAGTTGCACGACAGTTCCCTGAATGGCTTTCTTGAAACCGCAATTTTCTCAAGTTCTTCACCACCTCGTACCTCTTGTATGTCCAGATTGTACGTTCCTGAAGATGGATCCGTCTGTAACTCCCTGTCGTGTTGTCTTATCTTCTCTTCCGCCAATATCATGCACAGACTATCCTGGTCTTCACTGCTCTCATCCGAGTCTTTATCCCATTCTTCATGCTCCCCGGACAATTTCCCTTCTCCGGTTTCTTCTTCTTCCATGAACCTGGACCACTCCCCGGACTCTTGATCTAGTCCCAGGTGTTCAGCCTCTTCTTTGAACGCCACTTTCTTTTTCCTAACCTTGGTCTGTTCGAGAACGTCCTCGTGGATTTTGTCAACTAGTGACCGCACGACGTCCTTGCTATCAGCGACGCTCCCTGTTGAGAGGTCAGTATTGTTCACTGTTTCTTGTTTCCGAAGTATGGTGACTTCCGGTTCCCTTTGACCCTTCTCTTGGATCACGGGTTTGTCATCTGATAGTTTCTCAAGCAGCCTCATTAAATCTTCATCTATTCGGGCAGTTCCCGCTTCTACCTGATCGAGATCATAACCTTTTGCCTTGAGCGTTTCCCTCACGATCTTGGACTTGAGCATTATCTCTACCGGAATCCTTCTGCTTTTCTTCAAGATGGTCTTTTCTGGATGTTCTTTAGGTAATTCCGGATGATCTTCAATCGGTTTGCCTGATTTGTCCAGCCATCTCGTGAGTGGAAGACTGTCGTACGTTTCCTTGTCCATGAAGGAGAAGCCATCTTTGATCTCAGGTCTTTCCGCCTCTCTTTGTTCTTGTCTCTCGTAGAACTCCGTCTTCTTTTTCAAGCTGTCAGCATTTTGATGTTTATCTCGTGTTCTATGCTCAATTATCATGTTGTATCCGTCTAGGCGAACTATCCACCTCCCAATGTAACTTTGGTCCATTGAGTACGTTTTCAGCCAGCTTAGTGCTCGATTGTCGACTCGCAGCTTGAAGGGCTCACTGCCTAGGTATGCCCTGTATTTCTCGACAAAGGTGACCACTGCGAACATCTCTGCTTTCGGTGCTCCCTACTTCATTTCTGTGTCACTTAGGACTTTGCTCCCGTACGCTAATGGTCTCAAGACTGTCTTCCCATTCCATTCTTGTTCCTGATGGAGAATTCCTGAAATCGCAACTACCGATGCATCCGTGTCCAGCACGTACATCCCCTTCTCAGTCGGCATCCCTAGTACTGGTGCCTCGCATAGCTCTTTCTTTATCCTCTTGAATGACTCTTCTGCTGCGTTGTTCCATGTGAACTTCTTGCCCTTGTGCCTCATCAATTGTTGCATCGGGTACACCTTGTCCGCATAGCCTTTGATGAACTCTCTGTAGTAGTTAGCGAAGCCCAGGAAGCTCATCAACTGGTGTTCCGTCTTCGGTGACTTCCAGGTTAGGACTGCTTCCACGGCGTCTGGATCAGGTCTGATGCCGTGCTTGTCTACCATCCTGCCCAAGTATTTTATTGAGTCCTTGAGTATCTCGCACTTTGATGGTTTACACTTTAGCCCCGATCTTTTCATGCACGCGAACACCTCGTCCAGTCTCTCAATGTGGTCTTCTAGTGTTGGCGTTGCTATTACCACGTCATCCACGTAGCACATTACCAGATTGCCATACTTCTTTGTCACGACTATCAGCGCGTGTGCCATCAATCGCTGAAACGTGGCTGTGGCATTGCAAAGTCCAAACGGCATCCGTTTCCACTGAAACAGACCCAACTCGCAGGCAAACCCTGTCTTGTCCCTGTCCTGCTTCCGTAGTGGTACCTGCCAAAAGGCCGAGCCTAAATCAAGAGTCGTAAAAAATTTTGCATCACCTAACTTCGAGAGGCTCTCATCAATCCTAGGTATGGGATAGGCATCCTTCACCGTGACGGAGTTCAGGTATCGAAAGTCACAACAAAACCTCAACTGGTCGCCTTTCTTTTTGGCCATCACTACTCCACACTCCCACGGTGACTTGGATGGTTCTATCATGTCATACTCTAGTAACGTTTCGATCTCTTTTCTACACGCCTCTGATTTGTGCGGGGTCATGCGCCTCGCCCCCTCCCTGTGCGGTACCGCATTCTCCTCGAGTTCTATTTCATGCTCAACGAAATTACAACACCCGATATCCGCTTTGTGCTTCGAAAAAACTTCCTCGTTCCGCTCTGATGGCTTCGAGCTGTTCATCTTCCAGTTTGCCCCTCAAGTGTTCAATCTCCGGCAGAACCGGTTTATCAGTTTGCATTTCATCTAGTGTGGGTCGCTCTGGAAAGTTTGAACAGCTCGACAGCCCATCGTCCGTTTCTGACTTAAGTGATTTAATAAGACCTGAAGAATCTTTTATTTTCTGCAATTGTCTCAAGATACAAATTTTGTCCCTGTGATTGGGACAATCAACAACTTCATTCTGTTTCGAGTTCTCAATTGTTTCATATCGAGTTTTAACCGGTAAAGCATATCCCAGTTTCCTCCCTCTCTGTATCGTGATCGGTATATCAAGGGTATTCAACAAGACACTGACGCAGAGGCCGCTCTTCGTTATCGAGAAGGATCTTCCTAAAACAGCAGCACTTTGACTATTAGGATTCGGAACTATACACACTTGCTTATTGTCACTTAATTCATTGTAATTTTTCATCCACAAGCCTACGATTGCCGCTTCATTTGCCTTTAGCCTCACCCTCCTACTCAAGAACACCGGTGCTTTGCTTTCATTTGCCATTATTAAATTTACCGGTTTGATTGCGTACCTCCTATTCGGGTTCCGTATCCTGAACATTGCGTTGTTTAGATCAATCGCTACATCAAAGTTTCTGATGAAGTCTCTGCCTAAAATAAATTGGTCGGACTCATCTAGGTTTTCTACTACAAGAAAACTCATCCACAGGTTACGTTCCCCCAGATTGAGCGCTATTATCGGCGTTCTGCCCAACACGCGCAGGGCCCCTTTGTTCGCAGCCGATAACCGTATTCTCGAATCTATCAAGTCATCTTTGTTGAAGCCCATTTGTTCCCAAGTTTCGATTGGTATGACACTCAAGACCGCTCCCGTATCAAGTAACCCACGTAACTGAGTCTTCTTGCCACTTATGTCTAGCACGTGCCCTGTCACATCTGCCTCTGTCCCGATGTGCATCGCATCTTCTTCAAGCATGGCGCAGTGTCCAATCGATCTCACCTTTAACTCTTCCTTCCCTACGTAGATTTGCCCAATTAGGTCTTCATCACATGTTATCATTGTTTTGGTATAGATGTTGATTCCATCTATATTCAACATCACCTCATGTGGACCATAAGCTTCTGTGTATCTGTTATCAACACGTACCGACTTGCTACCCCCTCGCGTGAGTAGTGCTCTCAATGCTCTAGAAGTCGATTGTAGACTTATTAAACTCAAGTAATCTGCGTACAGATCAATGTGCATTATTGTCTGGTCGCTCGGTTCGCTCAAGTTTCCCGTTACCTCGTGGCCGCCCACTGTGATTATCGACATTATTCTAGCCCCGATTTTTGATATGCCGAATGGTTTTCCTGTCACCATCTTTACAGTGTTACAATTTCCAGTCTTTGTCGAGCCCGATACAGCCTCTGGTGCTGGATTCGATCCAGCTAATGCTTCGTTGAAATTCTGCTTTTCGATCTCCTGCTTTAGTCGTTGTTCTATTTCTTTCGCTGCCAGATCCTGCTTCACTTTGTTGATGGCCTCCGCTGCCGTCTTTTCGTAATCTATTTCTGGGGCTTTCTTCGCCGTGGCCTCTGCTGCACTACCACATTGTGTTACAGTTTTCATTGATTTCGTTGGTAGCTCCACATTTGGTCCCTCAAGTTTCTTCGTCTCAAATTCACCTTGTCTGTTTCTCTGGTTCTGCACCGCTGCTAGCGCCAACTTGTGTTTCGGATGACTCTGATTCTTGACCGCTTCCCAAAACAACGGACAGTCCATCCTGAAGTGCCCTTCTTGGTTGCAGAAGAAGCATCTTGCTCCTATTTTGGTGATCAAGCCGCTATAGAACTCGTGTTCTTCCATTTGACTCATATCTTCCTCATCAGGTGCATATCCCAAACTCTTCATGCCCTGTTTGTATGTCGTGCAATCCGCCACATGATGATCAACTGACCCGCAGTTAGCACACGACCTGCGTTTGTCCATGTCATCTCTGGGCTTGTACCATGGCGACCTCTGTGGCTGACTCCCCCCTTGGGTGTTTCTGTTGTCTGAGTACGAGTATTTCTTGGGTTTCATCAGCATGTACTCCCTTGACTTCTGCCTCATCTCTTCTGGAGTTGGCGCATTATCTTTCGACAATGTGTAATACGTTACTAACATCGTTCTCAAGTCATCACTTTTTACCCCATCAATGAACTTTGAGGCTATGCTGAAGTTTCTTCTATTGGTAGATTCTTCTGGGTCACTCCTCCTTCTCAAGCTCTCGAGATCATCTAGGAACCTTTCTATCGATTCGTCATCTCTCTGTCTCCTTTTTTCAAATCGCATCATCGCTTGATGACCCTTCATGCCTGAGCCGAATCTATTCAACAGTATTTCAAAGATTTTGTCCGCGGTATCGCGTTCTTCTTCTTTCTTCGCAACCACGCATTTTAAAGCTGTGCCTTCTAAATTGCTGAGTATGGCTGTGCATGCTTGTCTTTCATCGTTCAAGTTGTCCTGTTCTAGGTGTAATCTCATCACTTCCAAGCAAGTATCAATGCATCCATCAGAGTCATCTTTGAATTCTTTTGGCTTTTTGATTGTTTTTCTGGATTTTCCCTCTCTTCTATCATTCGAGTCAGTGTTCCTCGTGGCGAAGGCCTCTAGGGTTCTATTCATCATTTCCCAAGTGCTTGCCCATGTCATAGCATCCGGACCTGCGTTGCTGTTAGCTGTTGAGTCCCCCGGACCAGTCGTTGTACTTGACGTTCCATTCTTCATGATCGTTTTAGTAGCTGTTGGTGCTATGCTCACCGTGTCCCGGGTTAAGGGCAACGGTGTCGATTGCCGTTTGTTCCTTTGTGGTTCCACAAAGTCAACTCTGGTGCCTTGCGTGCGATCCGCTGCCGGTCTTTCTTGTGAGGTAGAATTTCTCAAGATTGCATCCAATTTCGCCTGTATTGCACTCGAACTTTCGGCCTGATTCTTGCCCATAGTGTCCATTCTCTTTTCCAGGCCACCTAATTGGCTGTTGACATCATCATATCGGTTTTTCAACTGTTGTATATCTTTTTTGATGTTCTTATCTCGTTCTTCATTGGTGGCGTCTACCTTATCTGACATCTCCTTGAGTCCCTCATCTGTTGCCTTGGCCAGGTTAAAGTAACTATCTAGATACTCGTGTTTGTTGTATCTTAACTCTTTTCTTATCACTTCTCTGTCCTCTTCGCTGTGCTTTAGTTTTTTGTCAATCTGATTCAGTTTCGCCATCAAGTCACCCAGCTCAATCGTAGCCTCTTCATGGTCAGCCATCGGTCTGTCTTTGGCCGTAGCCTCTGCTTTAGTTTGTTCCTCTCTTGGATTGGCTTCTGTCGTCTTCGTGCTCACTGTCCCAAAGGTTCGCGCTCTTTCAGCTTTTGGCTCTTCGGTCATGTTTTCTTTCGTTTTTAATCCGACCATCATCGCCAACTTTTCTGTAAAAGATGTCTTTTTTACTTGAGAGTCTTCTTTCACCGTTTCCTCGGTGTTGCCTATTGCATCTTCCACATTGTCTATTGGTGAGAACTCTATGGGATTCGGGTTCGGTTCTTCTGCTTTGGGCATTGGGGTTGACTCCGTCGCCATTTTCCCTGTTTCATTCATCCACACTTTGATCGGGTGTCTCTAGATCAATCTCGATGGTGGGTTCTACTCGTTCCCCTTCCGTGCCCTCTTGTGCTCTGTTCTCCGTTGTACTCCTTGTGCTGACCATATTAATTGAAAAGCTCTTCTTTGTTATCTTCGGACCCATTGATGTTGTTTTGCGTAGCGACGAATTATACTTTGTCTTTGCTTCGGTAGATCTTTTTTCAGCTACCGGTACTCTGCTCCGCCTCATTATTTACAATTGTTATTATTTACAGTATTATTATCTACAAAATTTCTACTCTAAGGTTAAAACTCTAAGTAAAAAGAAATTGACAATTCGCTAAAAACAATTTTTTTTTAAACTCTTGAAAACTTTTATGTGTTAGGTTAGGATAGGGAATGTGTTGTTATAATTGGTTACTTCAACCTAACTTAGTACTCTTGTAGTACCCCCTTCCTAATACTGTTCCAAGACTTTCTCTCTACCGTCCCAAGACTATTCAGTGTTGTCCCAGTACTTCTTATTTGTATCCTCAGACCAATGTCCCAAGACCAACGTTCCTAGACCAACGTCCCAAGACCAACGTCCCAAGACTAACGTCCCGAGACCAATGTCCCAAGACTAACGTCCCAAGACTAATGTCCCAAGTCCAATGGCCCAAGACCAACGTCCCAAGACCAATGGCCCAAGACTAATGTCCCAAGACTAACGTCCCAAGACCAATGGCCCAAGACCAACGTCCCAAGACTAATGTCCCAAGACCAATGGCCCAAGACTAATGTCCCAAGACCAATGGCCCAAGACCAACGTCCCAAGACTAACGTCCCAAGACCAATGGCCCAAGACCAACGTCCCAAGACTAATGTCCCAAGACTAATGTCCCAAGACTAACGTCCCAAGACCAATGGCCCAAGACCAACGTCCCAAGACTAATGTCCCAAGACCAACGTCCCAAGACTAACGTCCCAAGACCAATGGCCCAAGACTGTTTTGTACCAAGACTGCTCTGGTCCAAGACTGCCCCAAGGCTGCACTGTCCCAAGACTGTGTTGCCCCAAGACTGTCCCCAGACTGCAATGTCCCAAGACTTCTTCGGTACTGTCCCAAGACTCGTCACTGAGTGTCTGGATATCGGATCTTTTTCCTCTTCGTTGTAGGGACTTCTTGATTCACTGTACCTTGTACCACCACTCAAGCTCTAGTGAAAATCCCAAAAACCCTCTCTTAATGGCCAAATGCTAACCCCCTTTTTGAATTACCTCTTTTTCTATGTTCCAAGCAACTTGAAACCAAAACCTGTGCGCAGGTATCTTGTGATCACCTGTTCGTATAAAAACCAATCGCAAATCCTCACCAAAATGCAACAATAAATAAATAAAAATTTTTTAAACAAGAAAAAATAATAAAACAGAGAAATCAACCAACCTAAAATTCAAAGGAGACAAATGTCGACCTTCTGTCGAAAAAAAATGTCTGGTACCTAACTGCCACGCGTTTTCCTCCCCCCACTAGCGATCTTATGGGGTATCACAAAAACTGTCTATATCCG